ATTCTGGGAGTTGAAGTCCACTCATCTTAAAGTGGCCAAGTTTGGACAACACTGTCCTTAGACGATCAAAAAAGGCCGATCCAGGACCAGATTATTTTTCTAGTGGCTTTTTAAAAAAGTGAACGTTGTTTTTAATTTTTGCATTATTTTAAGAATTGTTGGTTTATATTGAGTGTTTTGTTTTATTTAATTTTGCTTTTATTACTCCTTCATAAAGTGCTCTGGGCTTCTTTGAGAGAAAAGGTAAATAAATAAAGGAAACAAGGAAATTACAGAAAAGCTTTTCAGATCTCTTTGCTGATAAAGAGAAAGGGTTTGCTCTATTTTTTTTGCAAAAGGCTGGCCTTGATTCTAAATTGCCAATTATTCTAGGACTGGTATTTTGTCCACCCCCTGCTTTCCATCTGCTGACGAATAATGTTACAGCTTACTTTAAAAAAAAAGACCCTGTCTAATCTCACTGAATACATTAATCAATATTGAGTAGCCATAGAAAATGTTATGACATGGAACTCGTCATAAAGTACATCTTCATTCAGGGAAATGCTCAGTTTCCCCCCCAAATCAGCATGAGTGCTTCTCCCTCAGATGTGCTGAACTGGGCTGGATAAGTGAAAAAGGAATTGGGCCTGATAAATAGATAGTTGGGACCTGTTTAGGTCTTACAAGGCCAACCACTCTGGGCATGACGGAAGTCAATAGTCCAACCCGACTGAAGGGGACCAGATTGTTAAAGGCAGTTGTAGACCGAAAAGCAGTGATGTCATGCAGCTTTGGGGTGATGGAAGTTGTAGTCTATGCATCTGGGGCAGTGGAGAAGGCTGGCCTAGAACATCTTAATGCAAGAAGCCCTGAGCTTGGAGACCAGCCAGATATGATTATCATAGATTCGTACAGTTTCACCCTGCTTCTGCTTTTCTTCTGCTCGCTCTCTTCTTCCAAATAATCTGGTTGTCATTCTAGATCGGATTGTGCAGCCTTTTATATTCCATCTTACACTGTTGTTCCATACCTGTGTTTTCTTTTCTTTTCTTTTCTTTTCTTTTCTTTTTTCTGAGTTCTGGGGTTGGAGCATGATTTTGGGGCAAGGTAAGTTGAATTTTTCTGAGAGGGAGAGGCCTGAGCTGGCCTGCAAGGAATATCTGTAAATTCTGCTGCCCGAATTGTGCCGGTGGGCTTGTTGGCCTGAGCCCCACAGCACGGCTGGACAGACCTTGGCCCCTGAGCTTTCCTGCCCAGCCCAGTTTTTTTCAGCCCCCAGAGCACTGCCTGGCCAACCATGAAAATGAAATTTGGCAGCAGAAGACTGAAATAAGTGTTGAGGGGTTTTACCAGAATAAAAATAAAAAATAACTGTGTTAAACCTTCTATAGGTTTGTGTCCTATTTTACCTTTCTAAGAGAAACAAGAAACACCCGCCTTTCCAATGTCATGGCATCACTGCCAAATTCCCTGCTAGATCAGGGGTGATATCTCCCTCCCCTCCGCCTGCCACTACTCCAGCTGTGCTCAGAGGCACCCTTGCATGCTCTTAAGTATCCTATCTCTAGACATGCATTTGGGGGTGCTTTTAAACCCTGGGCAAACCTCCTGCTGCTGTTGTTTATTATCCAGCAGCAAACCTTCGTCTTTCCTCCTGGTAGGAAACAGTTCTGCCATGCTTTCGCACCTGCCATCTTTCTCTAAGGGCTCTGCTACACCCCCAGGTTTTGGGTTCTTCAAAGCCAAATTAAAGGAAGCTTATGAATAATTGCAGTTCTGCTTGGAGAATTCCAGGAACTCCACTTGCGAGAGGCTTGTGGTTTTATTTTACCTTCCTCCAAAATCTTCTATCTCCTGTTATTCTAGCTATGTCTGCATCTGACGGCCTTCTTATCCTCCCCCTCTGCTTCTCCCCAGATCCTAAATCCAACCATCTTGCAAAGAATAGGCAAATTCCCCACCATCTGTTCTTGCAGAGTAGAGGAAACAAGCAGCCTATTCCACCTGCTTCCCCCTCACCCCCCAATTATGGATGCTGACCTCTTAAACTACACACACTTTTTTTTTTTTTTACATTTGATTTCTGGAATCCAAAGTAGATTTGTGTTCGTTCCCTTTTGCTTTATTTTTGGTCAGTTACACACTCCTTACAAACAACATTTCATAAAAGTCTTGCATCATAAAAATTCTGATGCCATATGTACTCCCTGTGTAATTTGCATATAAATTTACAGAATAGATCTCACTCCCACTTGAACCCTTCAAAAATGATGCCAGCTTTCCCAGTCTTGCACCTTGCAGACATGTTGGATTACAACCCCCATCATGCTCATTCCACACAGCCTGTAAAAGCCACCAGGTTGCGGTGAGGTTGAGTTGTACAAAAGAGCCATACCCTTCTTGATTTGTCTGTTCCTGTGGCTTAATTTTGTTTCTCTTTCAAAATTGTTTCCCTCCAAAAGGTGGGAAGAGAGATCCTAGAGATCCTAACTCAGGAGGGGACAGTCCTGATGCCATACATATGGCCAGTAACATCCCCAATTTTGGTGGCATGATGTTTCTCAAAAGTGGAGGTGAAAATAGGAACACCAGATCTCTCAGTTGTTCCAATTTCCACCCCTAAATACTTGCCCTGCCCCACAATCTCCCAATATTGCACTGCCAAAATGCAATCATTTGGCCACCAAATTCCAGAGCTTTTTAAAAGTGGAATGGGAGCAGTTAGCTTCCTAGGTTACTGTCCCATCCTCATCCATACTCCATCCCTACCAAATAGGCCAAAATGGTTACAGCCTTCTAGTGACATCACCATCTTTCCGCTTGTCACCCTCCAGGTTGTTCTGGGTATGAGTTATGGTCCCCAATCCTTGGGAAGTTGCTAATTCCATTAGAACAAGGAATTTCCTCATCCCCATCTGACAGTGAAGTTCAGTAAGGATTATCTCAGCTCTGCGAATACTGATTTAATGAAGCTGCCAACTTCCTCCCTTGCTTATCTGCACTACTGGTTCTCCTTTACCTCTCTCTGTTCCCACACACAGACACCCACAGCATACAGTTCTGCTTTGCTCATGTATTCAGGTTTAAAGAGCAGATGTCTCTGTGAGATTAAAAGAAAAGGGAATGTCTCTGCTGCCTTCCAGAATGTCTTTGGGGTTGGAAGGTCCATCACCTGGAGGATGTTTAATTGCCTGGCTCTGTCCGGCACCTACATTTCTTTAGCTGAGCCCCATCATATGCTGGCTGATTTTGAACTGAACACACTTGGAGGTTTGTAAGAGAGAAGCCAGCTCCAATAAATGGATAGGCCTTTTCAGACTGGAGAAAAGGAAATGCCTAAATGGGCAGGGATTGTTTGCCACTCAGCTGCTGCCTGAAGATAAGACCCAGATAAGAGCCAGGAGCCTCTGTTGAGAAGGTTCTGAGTTGTGAACAGTTGACCTCCTGTCCCATTTTTGATGTGCTTACTCTGACCCTGAAGCAGGAAACTGGGGACTGAAATTCAGCTAGGAGAAAACTCTGTTTGTTTGTTTTTTTAACAAGCCTGACCTTCTCAAGGTTCTGTAGTGCCAAATAATCATAAGTTTGGATGTTTGGTGCTGCTGTTCCCTTTGAGCTTGAGCGCACATAGACATAAGGGAGTTTCCCCCCCTTATCCTTACTGGTTCACCGCACCACTTGCTCAAAATCTCACCGTTGTTTGTGACTGGTTGCAAATTTTAGAAAAAGCTTCCTTTTTAAAAAACCTTGCCTGTTTGGATCCCGTCTGTCCTCCAAAAAATGCAGGAATGCGCTAGGTTTTCCCACTTTTTTCCCTTGTTGCAATCCAAAGAGGAATCTTGGATGAAGAGCTCATGAATACTCCAAGGTAACCCTCACCATTCAGGAGGGTTTGAACTGAGGTCAGTGCTTGGTCCAGAAGATGGGCAAGATTTGGCCATATTTTTCTGACCGGGGGCCATATGGTAATAGTGGTGGGGCTAGTTAGAGGGAGATGAAAATAGTCCTGTGGATAACTGGACAGTATAGTTGCTGTTTTTGTACTATAATTTCCCCCTCTTTTGGTATTATTGGGATGTTTTGTTACTGAAGGAAAGCAACAAAGTTCAGTCACAAACCTTCAAGGGCTCTGGAAAGGCCACACAAATTAACCAGGAGGCTACATGCCACCCACATGTCCATCTCTCACCTCTATCTATAAACCACACAATGAGACAGCTTTGTAAGTGTAATTCCGATGTGTATTTCAGGCAGCATCCTCTGGAAAGATGGCTGAAGCAGAAGAAGGAGAAATGGGTGTGGAAGTGAAGCTGGAGGAGGAGGATGAAGATGAAGAGGCTGGCTACGTCCAATCTGGGCGGCGCTATAGATGCCTGACCTGCAGCAAGACTTTTCCTAGCGTGCCACGGGTGTTGCGTCATTTAAAGTCCCACGTGGCTGGCACTGTGGATGGTGTAGCTGCCAAACTCACTTGCCCTAACTGCAGGAAAGAGTTTCCTGACCGGGCTCAACTTCGCAAACACCAGCTCAGCCACCAAACAGAGCGCCCATACCAATGCCAGCTTTGTGCCAAGGCTTACAAAACCGCCCCTGAGCTGCGTAACCATGGCCGTAGCCACAGCGGTGAAAAGCCCTTCGTTTGCCGTGAATGCGGCAAGGCCTTCATGCAGCCAGTTTGCCTGAGAGTCCACATGGCCCGGCACACTGGAGACCTGCCCTTCCGCTGCCAGCAGTGCCACAAGGGCTACGGCACTCTTTCCAAGCTGAAGATTCACCAGCGATCCCACACGGGCGAGAAGCCATATTCCTGCGGTGAATGCAGCAAGCGCTTTGCTGACCCCTCAGTGTTCCGGAAGCACCGCCGTACCCACGCTGGCCTCCGCCCCTACCAGTGTGAGGTTTGCCACAAGACATACGCAGAGCTGAAAGATCTCAAGAACCATGAGCGCTCCCACACCGGCGAACGTCCCTTCTTGTGCCAGGACTGCGGAAAGGCCTTTTCCCGCTCCTCGTCACTGGCCTGTCACCAGCGCATCCACGCAGCCCACAAGCCGTACCGCTGCAACCTCTGTGGAAAGGGTTTCACCCAGCTGTCCTCCTTCCAGAGCCACCAGCGGACCCACTCCGGGGAGAAGCCTTTTCTCTGCCCGCAGTGTGGGCGTATGTTCAGCGACCCCTCCAGCTTCCGCCGGCATCAGCGAGCCCACCAGGGCCTCAAGCCCTACGCCTGTGACAAGTGTGGGAAGGCCTTCCGCCAACCAGCTGACCTGGCCATGCACCAGCGCATCCACACGGGCGAGAGGCCCCACAAGTGCTCCCAGTGCGACAAGAGCTTTGTGGCTTCGTGGGACCTCAAGCGCCACCTGCTAGTGCACTCAGGCCAGCGCCCTCACCAGTGCGGGGAGTGCGGCAAGAGCTTTGCCGAGCGGGCCAGCCTCACCAAACACTACCGCGTGCACTCGGGCGAGCGGCCATTCAAGTGCGGGCGCTGCGGCAAGGCCTTTGTGGTGTCGTCCAGCCTTCGGAAGCATGAGCGTACCCATGGCAATGAGAACAGCGATGACAAGGCCGTCTCCCTGGGCAACCAGGACCCGCCCCCTAGTGACCCGTCCGCCATCGTGGTCGCCACTGTGGTGCCTGCCTGTGGGGAGTGTGGGGAGGCCTTTGCCTCCACCCAAGAACTGCGCCGCCACGAACGCCTGCTGCACCCCGGCCTGCGCCCGTTTCCATGCCCAGAATGTGGCAAAGGCTTCTCGGACCGGGCTGGCCTGCGTAAGCACGAGCGGATCCACTCGGGGGTCCGCCCCCACGCCTGCCCCCACTGCTCTAAAGCCTTCTTGGGTGCCTCGGACCTGCGCAAGCACCTCAAGACCCACGTGGCCCTAGAGAACAGGAGCTCCGACGAAACCGTGATGACTGCCACCATCACGACCTACGAATCCCTCCTCCCTGCTCATCTCCATCCCCATGACGACGGGACGGAGACTGACAAGGATTCTCCCTCAGACTGCCTGCCTGACCCCCTCACAGAACCTTCTTAAGCTCCGTCTCCCTCCCTCGCCCTGCCTGTGATTGGCGAAAAAGGAGCCAGCTTGGCTGCTGAAAGCCCTTTGCGTACTTTGATGAATGCACAGTCTTGCTTCGTTGACGTAATGTGTGGACTGCACTCGTTCAGGGCCTCCTATCCAGCATGGCTCTCTAGCACTTCTTTCCAAACAGGGCTAGGCGTGCTTCATCAGTCAGTGTGTGTGGCTACCCTTTCAAACCAAACTCATACTTCTGAAACTTTGGTGGGCAAAAGGGGCCTGTATCTTGTGAGATTGTGCGTGTGTGGAGGTGTGCTTCTGCTGTCTGCAGGGTGATACACATTCATCTGTAAGGTGTTTCTGCATCTGTTGTGATCTGCTGGGTTTTTTTTTTTTAAGAAAAAAACCTCCAGGTCCTTTTAAAGGCAAGAAGAATCAAACTGAGAAAATCAAGGGAGGAAGCAAAGAACAACTATCTTTCCTTCCAGGAGAGTTTTACGAACTATCCAAGGGTTTCCCTGCTTGTAAGAACAGAGTAAAATAAATGGCTTGCCTTTTTTTTTAAAGGGGAAAATTGCCCTGGATTGCATGTTTGAGGTGCCAGTTTTTGGCTTGGGGAACAGAATCCTTATCTTTTATTCTCCTTATCTCACCTATTGCAATTTACTTCATTTTAAGTTTTATTTTATTTCTGTATTTATTAGATTTCTATACCATTGCAATCAAAAGCCTCTCGGCAATAAAGCCTCCTTGACTGCTGAGAAGAGGGTCTGGGAACCTTCCTGCTTTCCTGTTCTTCTCCCACTACCCTTCCAAGACCTCGCAGTCTTGGCCCTTATACCATCCATTAATGACTGTGAAGCCTCTTAACCCTGGTTGGCCTGCTTGGGGGAAGGTTCACTTGCTCAGGAGCAAAGCTGCCTGCCAGCATCTTTTCTGAGGGAAGGTATATTTATTACTATGAATGGGGTTTAAACCACCCATAGGATTCTTGGGAGGAGATTCTGAGAGGCAGAGAAATTAAAGAACAGAATGGTGGAAGCAAGAGGGTAGGAAGAAGGGGGTGATGTGGAGGCCAGATATAAGGAACCCGTGACTTTCCAGGTATTGTTGAACTATAGCTTCCACCATTTCTCACCAGCAGCCATGCTAGTTGTGGTTAAGAAAGGCCAGAAGAAAAGAGAAAGGGAGAGATGGAATCAAGAAGAGATGAATCCCTCTGTTGGGCCAGAAGTCAATTTTCCTCAAAAGACAGTCTTCCTCGAAAAGGGGTTCTTCAGAGAGATCTTTGATTTCAACTCTGATGAGAAGAGCTGTTGGAGGGTTTCTGGCTGATATGCATCCATCTATGCGGTGTTTGTCCAACTGTTGTCATCTGATGGGGAAATGAGCGGTAGAGAATGGAATAGGAAGTGCAGTATAAAATGGGAGAATCAGCAGATGGTTGACAGGAGGAACCAAGGAGAAAGTAAGATGGGCAAAAGGTACACATAGAGCCCAAAAACAGAATGGATGAGCACTGATGGTGTTACCTAGTCGGGTAATGAAATGTCTGCAAGCAAACAGCCAAGTTCAGAGAGCACCAAGGACTCCACAGTTCAACCCTGAGCTACAGATATTCTCTTCTATTGGACTCTGTACTATTGGCAGGCAGGAAGGAATGGGTGGGTGTCAGAGACACAGTTTCAGTAACTAACTGGGACATCCTGTTTTGGTGTAATTTGTCATTGCAACATTATGACCTGGCAATCCTCAATGGGATGGCTTAGGGAAGATAGGGTACACTCTCGGACATTTCTGTGGCAGGAGGGTCCCTTAGTCCTGGCCCAATGTTTAGCAATTGGCACAAAAATCTCCTACAGTCTTGCCATTTAGAGGGCACCAGTTTGCATAGGCATCTCCAAATGGGGTGACTTTCAGTTGGGTGGACTTCAACTCCCAGAATTCTCAGCAATGGTCATGCTGGCAGGAGGTTACTGGGTGTTGAAGTTCACATATCCAGAGAGCACCCTGTTGGGGAAGGGTACCCTCGCTGCTTCTGCTTTTTCTCAAAAACCCCAGAGGCAAAACCTCACACTTGTAGTGACATCAGGATGTCAGAATGGTAGGAAAACTGACCAAGCAGGAAACTCTTATTTTGTCGATGTTGGCCTTAAGAGTTTTTCTGGCTTATCAGAGGTTTTTTTTTCCTGTGCTCAAACTGTGTGAATCATGACAGCTTCTTACTCCGTGGTCTGCGTTATTCATCTCTATCTTCCTTAATGACAATGAGAGAATAAATTCTACAGTTTCTCTGAAGCTCTGTGGCTGCTGGTGTGGAAACAATAAGCCACTGAAAAGCTGCACAAGAGACTTTGTGAAAAAGCTTGGTCAATAAACACACACTCCACGATTTTATTCCATTACACGGGGCTCTGACTGTGATCACCGTCCACGCTTAAATCAGCCGCTCTCTTGTAGTTCCCAAATCCAGACGTCGTAACCTGCACAAGCCTTGGTTCCAAGGCCTGCTTCTGAAAACACCAATGGTGGCTATTTCAGGTGTAGATGACCCTAAACTGGATTAAAGGAGCCGTGTGTTGTTGGGGCGGGGCAGGGGGATAAAAGGAAGGCAGGGGAATGCCCCTTAATGAAGTTTTTGTCCTAAGCATGCTGTGAAAACATAGCCAAAGTATCATAGAGAACACTTGGGACTCTGTGATAAAAAGGAAGCAACCTTTTCTGAGACTGAGGACAAACTAGGGTAGCCTGTCCAATCACCATGCTGGGTAAGGGTGACCCAAGATAAAAGGAAAGGTAGAAAAAGGAGAGGGGAGCCCTCAGCTTTCCACTTTCTCAAGACACTGAAAAGAGTACAAAATAATACAGCCAGACTTTCCAAGGCTGCATCGTTATGATCCGGGCCAATGCGGCCTGCTCCAGGTGGAGGTGGATCCAGTCCATGTTATTCACAAGAGCGATGCAATTTGCTCACTTCAAGTACCAGTTGTTCTGGTTCTTCTCCCCACCATCTTGATAAAGGTGGAGGTACATAGTGCAGAAAAACATTGCCATTGGATGTCCTGTGGGCATGATGGAGTTTGCCTAACTTGCTGCCTCCATGATGTGCAGTAGTCTCTGAATGAATGCCAACGAATACTCCATCTGACTCATCCCAAGATTCATATTCCTGTTCCTGCTCCAGATATTATCTTAACGACTGCTTCTGTCTCCCAGACCCCATTGAGTCAAGGAGTTGATTGGGCTCAATATGAGGGATGATAACAATTGTAGTAGCACAACATGGTTAACCATAGTTAAGCATAGAACTGAACCCAATTTTACAGGTTCATCCAACAATATTTTATTCAATCCGTAAAATAATCATACTGGCCAGGATACTGCAAGATGCTTTTTTAAACCATGGCTGGCTAACTTGTGTCTCAGTGTGTTGTGTGAACACACCCAGTGTCCCTCACCTGGGCTGTCTCTCTATGCTACAAATCAGCCAAAGCTTCAAGAGTGTCATGTGCTCAGAGGAAACCAACTAGGTCCATCAGGTGCCTGGATCAGATTATTCTAACCAGTCTTCCCTTCCTGCACAGGTTTGTATTAGGTAATAGTCCAAAGTTGATCAGAGAGTAATCTGTTCATAAGAATGTAGCCAGAATTCCCAGTACACCCAAACAGAATCCTGAATCAAGTGTGTACTATACTGTGTGAGTGCAGTCAAACACTAGGAGAGAGAGTTCCACCATTGTTGTGGTGAATCTGAAATCCTAAGACCTCCTTGTTTGGGTAACTGCATGGACACTGAATCCCACCAGGATGAGAAGCTTAGTATTATCTACACCAGTGTTTCTCAACCTTAGCAACTTTAAGATGTGTGGACCAACTCCAGAATTCCCCAGCCAGCCATGCTAGTTGGGGAATTCTGAGAGTTGAAGTCCACACATCTTAAAGTTGTCAAGGTTTGAGAAACACTGATCTACACTGTGCTTAAGATCATGTTGGAAAGTACAACAGGATGGACTGTACTCTGTTCACAACAAGCACTCATCACCAGCAGATTGTCAAGAGGGGCATCTTTGGGAGAAGGTGAAGATCTTTAGGGAATATGAATGTTCTCCTGTCGCGCCCTTCAAACCTAGCCTGATACTTAGTGGAGTAGTCTAGTGGACAAAGATGAGAAAAATGAATTCTCTGTATCTTTACAAGCCAGTTTTTTTTCAAATAGCTTAGGCAAAGTCTTGGCTGCATCGAGAGCAGAACAGATGTTAAAATATATGAGCTCTGGAAATCAAAGTCTATCTTGCCAAATAGCCATGATCATGATCACTGCATGATTATGGGCTAGTCTGCATCCTCTCAGCTTAACCTACTTACAAAGTTATTAAAAAAATACAGAATAGGGAGTAAGAAGGATGTACCTTGAAGAACCATAAGATAACACAACAAGGCTTTTTTAATGTGGGTGAAGGTGTGAATTCTGCTGTTGTCCCCACAAATGTTTACAGTAATAAAAGCCTTAATATTGTGTGAAGTTGGTAAGAGTGTAACCCTCAGAATCACACTTTTGATAAAGTTTTATCCTTCAGATCAATAACTGAGTCATCCCATCACTGGGGGATGGATTATAAAATGTGCAAGGATATGTCCATGGACACATACAAATCCTATGCAGCCGGAGGGACAAAAAGAACACACTTAGAACTCACCTTATTCCAGCTACAGCTGAAGGTATGGAGCGTATGGCTATCTGATGTTTCTCTGAGCAGAAGAGTCAGGAGGAAAAATAGGGGAATTGGGTCTGATAATATGCCTTTAATATATTTTTTTATTGCTTCTGCTCAGCTTAAGAATGAAGGGGGAAAAAGTATTCAGGAAACAGATTCCAGCTTCTTCTGAGAATTTTATGCTTTGCACTTTCAAACTCTGTAACACAACCTGAGAGACTGTAAACTTAATTTGTTCTAAAAGGATAGTTAGGATTCTCAGAATGGCAAAATCATCCTTAGTGTAGCATTTCCTTGAAAGTTCCCACTTTTTTTTCAATGGATTGAAATTTTGAAAAGCAATGGATTCTCTCCTACTAGTTTTCGTCAATGTATTCTTAGAAAGCATGTTTGAGGAATACGATAAAGGTTAAAAAGGAGGAAAAGAAGGGGGCAGAGAACAGTTTGAAAACCACCTCCGATGCTCTATTAAGGAAACCTAACATTTCAAATTTGAGAATCTCAAATTTAGGACCATTTCATGAAGCAGCAGAAAATTCAGACTCAAAATTTGGTTTGGGGTTGCACGTGTCTGTAAACATGGAACATACCTGGGAGTTGCACCCCAGGTTAACTTTTGTTAGTTAAGCAATGTAGTAGTATTCCCCAAGCTGTTACCTTTTTGAGGTGTTGGGACTTCAAATCTCAGTACCCCCAGCCAGCATCAGCTAGGAAACAATGCAATAAATGGGGTGGAAAACTCTTGGACAAGTCAGGAGAATCCTTTTAGCTCTAAATAGGAAGTCTTAATTTAGCTGTCATAGGCAAGAAGTTATCTTGGTTGGTTTTTCTAAGAAATTGAGAAGGGAGACCCTAGGTGCGGACCAAGTTTAATTTGTGTTGGTCCCCTGCTTCTAACTCCATGTAAGATGGAGCATGAAGTGCTCCGGTGAAGCCCAGAAGAAGTACTGTAATGAAGAACATCTCTCCTGCTTTGACTCAACAGGAATCACTGCTCAGAAGAAAACTGCCTCTGATACTTGAAAGTGCCAGAGAGCCATTGCAGGTATCCCTCTGCCCATACCTATCCCCTACAGCTATGTCTGTAGCCATTCCTAAAAAAATGCGTCCATTCCTGCATCTTGCATTGGGGAAAAATCCCCTAAACAACTTATAGGGATATGGTGTCTTCTTCACACAACTTTGTGACTGAGGAAAGCAGCTTCACTTTGTGATCTAAATTGCAATGCATCTTTTCCATTGAAGTTGACAGTCCCTTTTTCTTTCCCATGTAGGATCAACCATGCTGGGGGCAAAGCCCATCTTTGCTGCCTTCACCCTTCAGCTTCCCTTCCTCCTCCTTTTCCTGACCGGGGTCTCTCCCCATTGCCAAATCAGCACAGCTGAGGAATGCCAGAAGAATGAAAACTTTGTGCCTGGTTACAGCTTGGCTGGAGAAGGCTTTGACATCACCACGCTGGAGAGGAAGGAGGCCAAGATGTTGGATCTGAATCAGTGGCAGAGAGCTAACGGCACCTGCACCCTGTGCCAGAACCCTTTTCTGCCAGGGAAGCCTCTCCAGAGACTTCCCTTGGCAGCCACTGACTGGGTAGCTAAAGCTGCGTGCCAGAGGAAGATCCACACTTCCCTACAGAGCTCTGGCATCGGTGTGGTTCAGGCAGCAGCAGCCGATGTGAAAAATGACTGGAAGGCTGGACTGGATGTGCCGATACAACCTGGGATTCAGGGCCAAGTGGCTTTGGCCGGATCCCACTCCAGGATGGCTGACTTCACCATGGAGAAGAGTAGCCAGGACAAGTATACTTTTGCAAGCCATGAGGTGACCTGCTCTTACTACAGGTGATGAATTTTATTTTTATTTAATTTATTATCAAACTTGTATGCCGCCCATCTCCCCCAACGGGTGACTCTGGG